GTATAATTTTTACTAAATTAAAAAAATTGTTTTTTTGTTTTTTGATAACAAAATTTTTTAAAAAGAATTTTATATATAATTTACTATAAATTAATTATTAGGCATTACTTTTATTGGATACTATACTAAATACATAAAACATAATTAGTTTTTGAAAAAAAATTTCTAATTGCATTAATAAATATAACATTATTATTTGTAATAAATATTAAAAAAAAAGATTAAAAAATACAAAAAAAATAAGTTGTTGAATAACTAAATATACAAATTTTTTAATTTATATGTAAGCAATACCAAATGTTTACAATTTATTTATACCAAAATTATTAATAATAACAAAATTTATAAATAATAATTTGTAAATATTTGTTTTATAAATAGTATTAATAAAACTATTTCTAAAAAGTATTAGTATAAAGGATGGTGATCTTAGTATAGTAGTTGGGTTGTCATTCTTCAAGTGACAGGTCTAAAATTCAAATTCCATCTATAATAAAATTTGGAAATTAATCTGTGTTATAGAAAACTGTTTTTTGTCAATCAGTTGGATTTAGGTATCTGTAATCTTGAATACAACCAATCAGGTTCTACTTATCATTAAAAGCCTAAGGCATCTATGTGAAGTATAATGTTATATGTATATAGAGAAATATTAATAACTGATATCATATAAAACTTTGATACAAACACATGATAAGACCACCAGATATAAAAAATCAAGAAACAGGGGATGGAAGCCTACTTGAAAATTCTTGAATAAAGAGATAGCACAAACCTTCAACAGTGCTATTAGACTAATAGAAGTTCAGAAAACCTCAATAAGAAATAGGCAGATATAACTGAATGAAAAGATGTATAGAAGAGCATATAACTTATCAGACTGCTAGAATTATTAAAAAAAAAGAATACTAAGGCATACTATACTAGGCTATCTGAATTGAAAGTCTAGAAATCTGTCAGATTCTAAGTTAGATAGTAAAGAAATGAAAAGAAGAAGTCAAAAAGATAGATACTAAGGTTTGAATAAATTTACAAGGATAAAAATAGTATAATGTAGCAGTTAAATAGGTAACTTCTATAACTACAAGTATTAGGTAACTATAACATGTTATATAAAACTAGATTAGCTGTATATAGAATATAGAAAGCTTTAGTAATAATATTTCTGAGGATATATTATATAAAATAAAATATGAGGTTCTAAGAGAATAAATAAAAGTATCTAGACCTTTTTGACTAATATCTGTATTAGAGATGATCTAGTAACATAGTAAAAATTGCAATGCAGAGGATTTAAATAGGTAATATTTCTAGTTGAGTTGCAGGTATGGTAGCTAGTATAGAACTATTTGTAAACTACTTAAATTAGACACCAAAAATGTATATGTGACTAGTTGTATTCTCTAATATAAGGTGACTTCTTTAAGGCTTCAATCATAAGTCTCTATATTCTAATTTACTAAATAAAACCTTAGTTTCAAAAGAGGCTAATTTAATTTCCAAATATATATATATATATTAGTACTTGTTACCAAATTAGAATAACAAAAAAATAAATATTTTAAATAATTATTTATATTAAATTAATAAACTATTATTAATATATAGAGATATTTATAATAATAATATATATTAATAAAAATATTTTCTTTTATAATTTTTATATATACTATATATTTTCTTTTCTTTATATCAATTATCAGTAGTTTCATTAAAATGATCTCTTCTAGAAAGTTGATTTATAAGTCTAAATTAAATATATTTTTTTAGTTACAATTGGATTTTCATTTTTGTCTCTAATAATTTTATAAATTATGTTTAGTCTTACTTCTGCTTTCAATATTTGCACAGTTGTATATCTTGTTTTCTAAGTTAACTGCTAATGTTCATAAAAAATTTTTTTGTTTTTGGTTATAGAATAATTATATTTATTTATTATTTTAGAAACATGCTATTTAAAATTTTGTAATATTGTCTTTAAAATAAATTAGTATTTACAATGTTTATTTATTTTTTTTTATCATTAAATTTGTTCTTATAAAATTTATTATTCTCAAATTTGATTTTTATTTTCTTAAAATTATACTTATTTGACTTATAAAATTATTTATTTTCTGTTTATATATTCCAATATTCAAAAGTAAAGTTTTTGCCTTTTATATATATTAACTTTAGAATTTGATAGAGTGTAGTAACTTAGTAAAGTGGATAAGTTATTATACCCTTAAGTGATAAATTGTGAGTTCAAAACCTACTGATGATGAAATTTGAATAATTACCTATATAATATATAGATGGTATTATAGTAATGGCATTCTGTCAATCAGTTGGAATAGGATACCTGTAACTATAATCATACCAGCATGACTGGCAGGTCTGAGGCATCTGTATAATCTGTTATACAGAGGAATACAAATTGGTACTGGGTAGTGCAAACCTAAAATAAGTTCTCAGACTATATAAATTCATAAAACTGAGAAGCCAGAGCCCACTTAGAAATTCTGAGCAGAGAGGTAATACAGATCTTTGACAGTACTACTATAAAGGCTAGATCTAGGAAATAAATACCAATGTAAAGAATTCAGGCAGACAAGAACCTTGAATGAAAGGTATCATCAATCAGAACATCAGATTTCGGATCAAAAGAAAAGAATATTGAACCAGCCTCAATATACCAAGAACAGATTATAGTTCTTCTGAACTATCTGAATTAGAAATCTGGGTTCAAAGCAAGAATATACTAAAAGTACTAAGAATATGCTATAAAATTAGTACTGAGGTCTAGATGAATTCTGTAAAAATAACTCATATTAGTGTTCTAAAAGTGAATAGATAATTAACAATGAAGAATCCTCTGCACCTTACTGGCAGGTAACATATTCTGAAATATATAACAACCTGAAAACCAGTACAAAAAGAATAGGTACTATACTGCTTAGATGGTATATCAGTTAGGTATATATGAGGATTAGTTGGGGATTCCAATATAACAAGGCAGATGATCAGAGAGTTTAAATAGATAATCTCCTAGTAGGTTATAAATATGACATCTAGTATAGAACTTTAGGATGGACTACTTAAATAGATAACCAAAAATTGCACACATAACTAGTTGTACTCTCATCTTTGTAAAAATAGTTGTAATAGCTAACCCAATATAAAGTCAATAAAGTATCGCCACAAGTATAGTCTTTAATAAAAAAAAAAAACTTTAAAATTTGTACAATAAAGTTATGATTTTATCAAAAATAGAAAATCAGATATTTATTTAATATCCAAAATATCTGAATAGTAATATATACATAATGTATTTTCTGAATATCTTCTAAAATTTAATTGGTCAAAATTTGGGGTGCTCATGTCGATCATCGCGGTGTCGGTTTTTGATTTTAAAAAAGTCACGGGACAGCTGCACTTAAAATTGACCAATAGAATTTTTAGAAATTTTATTGGTCGATTTTAAGTGAAGCGGTCACGTGAAATTTTTAAAATCAAAAAAAGTATCTGTGTCAAGATATGATTTGCTTTCACTTTCGGTAAGACTTACGACTTTCGGTAAGACTTCGACTTTCGGTAAGACTTTCGAATTTCGGTAGGACTTTCGAATTTCGGTATGACTTTCGACTTTCGGTATGACTTTTCAGCATGACTTTCGGCACACCAAAATACGTTCGGAGCCATCCTTAGTCACGAAGTAACTGATCAATCATTCTTAAGCCGATTGGGATCCTCAACACATGATAATTTCAATTTTTGATGGATATAGGTTCAAAATAACATTGTTTCAAGCAACTTTAAATTTAAATAGAGTAATTAATTTAGGCCATTCTCGAGCGCATTCTTCCCAATGGGTTACCGAATAACCCGAAAATTGATCGTTCTTGTCGCTTAGGTTGAAAAAACCTGAAGTTGCAAGCACTAATTTTTTTATAGAGCTATTTCTAATTGGCCGGAATTTAAAATCTGTGCTTAGTTGTGACGTATTACCCGGATCTCAAATTCGGACTACAATATTTCTATTTAAATATACATCTTTTTTTAATTCTTTTAAGGCGGTATCCACAATTTACGTTAAACTAGTACTGTATTGTATAAAAATAGGGACCTTGAGGGTAATGTCTTATAGTATTATGTTTGTATTTCTTTAAAGATCTCTGTAACAATACTGGTTTAACGTAAATTGTGGATGCCGCTTTAATGATTGTTTAAACGGTAGAATTGCTGACTAAAGAAAAAGGAAGATAATAGAAAAAATGAAAGAATCAAAGTCTTGTGTATGTAATAAAGCTAAACCTTATAGAGTACCAAATTGATTTAAAAATAGTATAGAAGTATAATAAGAACCGGGAAATGAATCAGTTATCCACGAAGTGGACAATAACATCTACTTATCCATCACACATTAACGTTTCAAAAAAATATTACATAATGTTGTGCATGGCATAATTAACAGTCGTTGATTATAAAATGTGCAATTAATTTATAAGTTGTGCCTATCAGTTATGTTACAATATTGCAGAGTTAACGTTACTACATTAGATTTGTCTAGATGAAACATTCCAATCTGTGAGCAACTTTTAATGCAAATATCTAGATTTTTGTCAAAGTTACGATGAAAATATTCCTAGTATCCTACGAAGTGCTAGAGATAAGTCCAGAGTTTTGGTTTCGTATTTGGAAGTTCCACAGCAAAAGGAGGTGATAGGACGTAGAAAATCCCACGTTTTGCTATATGGTCTCCCACATACATTGCAAAAGGATATACATGAATCGACTAGTTGTTTTGTTTAAATACTGCATAGAAATCCTGGAGTCTTTTAAATACATTATTATATGTGTAAAACATGATACTACATGAATCTAAGAATGCGGGATATTTTTATAAGCCAGATATTGTGAGATGTTTTATGCAGTGGTTAAATATCAATTATTATAGTCAATTGTTAGTAATCTTTATAAGAATCTTTTAATTTTTTAAAAATAGAATAGTAAAATAGACAATGACACCAATAATGCAAATTTTGGAACTGACGCAGAGAATTCTAACTTCTCGAAAAATATTAAAGCAGCATTTGGAATCATTTTTCCGTCTATTTTTTTTTTAGGATATACGTTAGTTTGTTGTTTTCGTTCGTTCAACAATAATAATTGTGTTCAACAATTAACAAATTTATCGAAAAAAAATGATCCGATTTGTTAAAAAAAACTTAATATTATTAATAGTGTTAATTTTGATAATAAGCACCCTAGTAATTCATGCCAAAAAATCTCCAAAAAATGTTTGTCGTTCATTCGTAGACCATTTTCACAAAGATAAAATTGTTTATAAAACGGATTATGATGGAAACCCAGATTCAGCCAATTGGGTTGATGTTAGTGAAGCTAGAGGTGCCTACTCAATAAGTTCCGGGAAACTAAAGGCTATATTGCACAAACCTGTGGGAGATCAGCATAGAGCGAAAGACGAAGATGGTCCTTACAATAAAAATTTAGGAAAAGGTCTCTCTATGAATAGCACTTATATGATGCTATATGGTACAGTTAGCGTCGAAATGAAGGCCTGTGGTGTTGGTGGTGTTGTTACAGCTTTATGTGTAAGTAAAGTCTGCTACCAGTTATTGCCATATAATTATTTAGCATCATACAAAATCGATAAACGATTAATAGTCGTTAAATAATCTTCATTTGTTTTAGACAATGTCCAAAGAAGGTGACGAAATCGATTGGGAAACCGTAGGAAAAGACATAAAACATGCCCAAACGGACTTTTTTTACCGAGGTTTTCACAAAACTGGAGTTGATGGTGTCTTTCATTCGTTTCCTGATGGTGGGACTATTGACTCTGACTTTCACACATACACGATAAATTGGGGTCCAAAAAAAATTAAATGGTTAATTGATGGTATTACAGTTCGTACCTTGGAAAGATCTTCTACATTCGAAGATGGTATATATAAATATCCAAGTAAACCTTCATATATTACATTGAGTCTCTGGGATGGTAGTGGGGGTAATGGAACGGCTCAGTGGTCTAATGGCCCTATCAATTGGAAGAAAAGTCCTAACATGTATGTATCTTATGTTAGGAAAGTTAGCGTTGCGTGCAATCCTAAATACAATAAAGTTGTATATTAATAACAATAAATGAAATATCAGAATAGAATAGGGTTTTGGTCTAGTTTAAATCCGCTCGAAATTTAATCCTGACTAGAAAATAAATAAATACATATATGGAAAAAGTTGCATAGGGATAAGTCGAATCATAAATTTTGATTTCCCGAAATTGCTTGTTATTTCCCCAGGTGCACTTTATTTTTAATATACATGTATTTGAAATAATTCTTTTAGTTTGTATGATGGGTTATTTTTGATGTAAGTTTTAAAATCTTTTAGCCGTTGTAATCGTTTACTTAAACGAAGGTCTTAAAATTCTCTTAGTAACTTGATAGAACATGAGTTATTTAGGATGAAGGTAAAAATAAAAAATAAAAATAAGAAATTGTCCGATATATCCAGGTGTCAGTTTACCAGAGGCATTTTCATATTAAATTTATAGGTTCAAAATTTTAAAAAGTGTCGTTATAGCTAGATTTCGGTATATTCAAACGTCACTCCAGCTTGGGTTGGGCTACTCCGGAGCCACTCCAGGCTTGCTTAGAGTTGCTCCAGTTCACTTCAGTTTCACCTCAGATTTTTAGGCATATCTTTAACCTACTCCAACTTGGGTTGGGCTCACTCCGGAGTGGCACCGGAGTATGCCACTCCTACCTACCGATATTTGATATTGGAAATTAGAATAAAATTTATTATCATATGATCAAGTGCTTATTCTAATTTTTTTTGAACTTTAAGAAAATTATAATTATTTATTTAATAGTATGGTAACAATTTATAATAATTCAAAAAATATATGTTCTGATTAATTAAATTTTTTTAAAAAATCTGAAATTTATAAATGTTGAAATCTTTTTAAATATATAAAACATTACATAAAATTAACTAAGTTTTATTATAATTTAAACATTAAATTTTTGTGAGTCTGAGGACAAAGCAAAGGTATACTAAAAGTATTAGGATATGCTATGAAGTTGGTATTGGGTTTAGGTGAACTCTGTAAGGGCATAGTTCTATTAATGGTGCATAAAGTTGGTAAGTTAGTTAACAAAAAGATGGTTAAAATTTTACAGTTATATAATATGTTCTAAAATAAGTAAAGATTAATGGATATACAAGAAAGAAAGTTAAATATTAGGCAAGAAACCTTTCATTACATACTATATATAGATCACATATAATTAATATAATTAATATAATTAATAAAATAATGTCTAAAAATTTATTCATCCAATCTTTTTTACTTTTAACGATCTTGATCTTTTCAGTTACCGCCAATAATAGTCCTCCGGGTGTAAAAATTCTCCAACCTAAAGCGGGTGCCAAATTTAATCAAGGTCAGTATAATGTTTCTTCGTGTTATATAATTAATTTTCGCAAATTTAATCAAAAAGTTTTTGTTAATTTATGATATCTTTATAGGCATGAAATTGTCGTGGAATTTGAAACGGTATTCATAAGTTTTTTTTTTTTTTGAAAATAGGTAAATGTAGTGTTAAAAATGCTAATATATTTATATAAAGGACGGAATCATTCAAAATTTCACTAGCACTCAGCTTAACTTAGGATTTGTAGGAATTAAACAACGATTTGCAGCCAATCTTATCTTTCCAAACAACAAAAATAATACATTCAAATACACTTATACATTACTCGACTCTCTTACTACATATGTTAGTTATGCTTGTTTGATATTATATACAAATAATACTGGAAACGCTGATAGTGCTGTCTCAGCGACATTTCCAATTGGACAAGTTAACGGCAATGTCATCATCAATAACCCATCTAATGCCGAATATAAAGTTGGTGAAAACTCGAAGTTACTTGGGATATCCTTGATAAAACTTATCCTCCATCAACCTTAGTTGCTATTGTTTTTGCATAAAATACTATTGCACCCTCTGAATATATATTTCTTTCAAGCCCTCCTAATGTATCTTCTGTTCCCCTTTATGATCAAAATTTTGAATCGGTCGTTTCCTGTTGGACCGTTTCTAGGTGCTAACATTTTTATGTATATTCATAACCAAACTACGAATGACATTGTCGCCTTTGCATCAAATGCATTTACTGTTTCTGATCTTTCTGATAATTCTAATCATTCTGATAATTAATTTCACATAACTAAATCTAGAAAATGTAATTTTTTTAAATTTTAATAAATAAAGTATATTTCATTTGTCTGTCTGTTTAATTTCAAGTTTGTTCCTGTTGGTATTTGGTATTATTATCTGAGAAATCAATGTTCTATTTGTTTGATTGGTTTAACGAAGGTAAATCTGGTAACCATAATTTCCTTGACTAGTCTGCAACTTGGTCATTCCAATAAGGAACAACGTAATTATGGTTTATTAATGTGTTAATGGCATAGCGATAATATTGCATATCGATATTAATTAAGTTCTAATATAATACACCAGTTTGCACTTCAATTTAGCAAACTGTTTGGAATATTCTGTTTCATATATGCTATAATTCACTTCAGTCTGGTTTGATAGAAAAAAAAAATCTTATTAGGACCGAAAGACGGATCGACACTACATTTAAGCCACCAAGCGACTATCGCCATAAATTGTCATTTTTTTTGAATATATAATTTATTAAACCTCGAAGCAAATAGATGGCAATAACGATAACGATAAATAATGTATAGTGTCAGCTTAAAATTTCGTGGAGCGTCAGGAACGGTTCTATTCGATGCGTGGACGATTTGACAAGTATGACTTTTCTCTTCCTTTACTTTAAATGCTTTGTGTTTTACTTAAAACTAGCTCTACTAACCACAACTTATCAAATAACACTACAATCGTCATGCATTCAAACGCGTTTTCTGGGGTACAATCATTTACGATCATCAAGTACGGCACCGTCGATCACATGCATTTTGGTCACTGCGTATTTTCCACCCGTGACAATACAAATACGCAATTTCGATATTAATAAGTAGATTATTAACATTCGTTACACCAGACGGATTTTTATGTATAATCCCACCCATGTAAATATCATATTTGTAATATGTTGACCCTGAAATCTTTAGCCTAATGGAATTACTTGCGTGCATATGTACATTTAATCCTCGTAAATTACCTAATTTGTAAAATACACAATGCAATGTTATTATTATGCAATTATAACGTTATTTTAGAAATCAAATTTTATTATTAATCTAATTGTAGTATTTATATATAGAAATTCACCAATTTTAGTTTTAGTAATCGCCAGTTAGTAATTTATTGATTTGTCAGCTTAACGCATTATAAAATATTTGATTTTTAAGTGTATTACGATCGAATTTATAACATCTTTTTTGGAAATGTTTTTACCGATCTTTTATTGGCCGAAAAGTATAAAAATGATTCTTGAAAGCCTCAAAGTTAAACTCCAATAAATTCAATAAATTAAATACCAAATAACTATACAGTTAGTTAAAATGGCTATTGTGAATAACCATCCTGAAGAAACTCGTGAAGCTCTCTTAAAAACCGACCCTAAACTCTCAACAAAAGAAGTAATTCTTGACGATAAATACGCATCTGTTGCATCTGAATCCTCAATTCAGACCACAAAAGCAAGTCTAGAAGCAAAAAATCATGAAGTCACAATTCTTGAAACAAAAGAGGAAGCATTTGAATTTTTGAAAACCTTAATTCCTAAAGGAAGTTCTATCAATAATGGTCATTCTACTACATTAGAAGAAATCGGATTCATCGATTATTTAAAGAATGCTACAGAATGGGATAATGTTCATGCTCAGATTTTAGCGGAGAAAGATATGGCCAAACAGTTTGAGTTAAGGAGAACTAAAGGTTATACAGTAGACTATTATTTGTCTTCTGCTGATGCTATTACTGAGGATGGAATAATCGTAAGTATTATATCTTTTGGTAAACATTTCTTCGAGGAACACTATATCATGTGACCTAATCAATAATAATAAAATTTATATAATAGGTCGGATGTGATTTGTCAGGAACTCGTGTTGGAGCTTGGAATTCGGCAGCCGGGAAACTCATTATCATCGCTGGTACAAATAAAATTGTTAAAAATGAACAAGAAGCTAATGAACGTGTATATAACTATGTACTTAAATTAGAATCAGCACGTGTTAGATTAGCATATAAAATCCCTGCTAGTAATGTTACAAATTATTCCGTTATTAAAACTGGTAATCCTTTTAATCCTAAACGTGTTCATGTTGTATTGATTAAGGAGTCCTTAGGGTTCTAAGTGATGAGATTCTATAGCAATTAAGTTCATTTTACTTAAGATTTATTACTCATTTCTTAGCATAACATGTTATTCATATCTTTATTAAACTATTAATAAAATTCGTTAATTAATATTTTGAGAATAAAGTTATATTTCCTCTCTCATTGTTTTCATGTAAAACATTCACCTCTAAAATCTCATGAAATATTCTAACATGCAAACGTAATAGTCGTAACTATACTTGCTGCTCAAACTAAAATTTCAAATTCAATGCATAATAAAATTGTCCTAAATCCTATCCCAAATCCCAAATTTATAGAGGTTTTGCAGGCAAACTTAGTCATAACAGACCAACCCTATGTATTGTGCATACTTTCTTGAATCTAGGTGATAACACTAGTACGGTTCTCTTATTAGGGGCTATTTAAGATACTGATATAAATTATACACTTCAAAATGTTATAATTCACTTCTTTCGCGTCTCGCGGGAAAAATCCAAAACCCACAAACAATTGCTATTTATAAAAAAATCGAATTGAAAAATAATAAAATTTTGCTAATATTCGGCATACATGTTGTGAGGCCCAATAACGTGACGCAATTAATTGCATTAATGCGATTAATTAAATAAATCAAGGAAGTGGGATTAATTAGAGAAATGGGATTAATTAGAGAAGGGGGATTTATTAAGTAAATGGGTTTAAGTGAATAAATTAGAGGAATGAGATTAATGTAATTAAAGAAGTTATAAATATAAATAAAGGCTGAAATGGCCCTAAGGGACGACATGTCTCGTTTGCTTTAGTAATGAACAAGTCCCAATACATTGTAATCGTCCATAATAAAACCCTAACACTATACCCAGTATAACCCTGTAAACCCCCTAAACTTTGATATTCGTTCGAGTTCTTGTTCACGTGACTTACCCTACTTGTATTCGTTGACTCAAAATAACCGAAAGCCTTAATCACCCACCAGCCAAATCTAACACCCTCTTTCGAAAAGGTTACTTATCATACGTTACACGACATTTTGGATTGTGGAGCGACAGAGTCGCAATCTTCCGAACCCAACAATTGTCACCACAATCACACTTCTTTGACCACTGCCTCACCCTTACCCAAACAGGTTAACAATAAACTAAAGTCCATTCTCAGCCGTTACGGTGCAAACAAGTAAGTCTTGATCGACTTTTCCTTATTTTGTTGGCGATGGTCTCCACGCTGGAGTTTGGCACACATCCTTCCTCGATCGCATGGTCTCAATCAGGTCCTGGTGTATATGTTTCAGGTGGATCATCATGCGTACTACCGATTTGATCCTTTCTTGGGCTTGGCGGATGTCACGATTTTGCCTCTGACACTAGCTAGTATAATTTTGGTCGGGTTGTATAATGCTGCAGGCTGCACAGTGGCTCGTTCCTAACTGTACGCGAAATTTTTTGCTTGTTTATGGTAGTTAGTAAAGTAGTACTGTAGGATTATATAAATATGTACGGATGTACGAAAATTAAGTAAAATTTTGATAGTAGGTAGGTTCGTAAAAATTAATTTTGTAAGTCCATTATCCGTTTGGCACAGGGATGTGACGAATTATTGGGAGTGGCTAATTAGCATTAGTTAATATAATTATTTAGCTAATGCTTACTCGTCACACAATGATTCGTCACATCTTCATGCAAAATGAAAGAGACCTAATCCTTTACAAGTAAACTATTTTTTATGTTTTTGGTTAGGGTAAGTGCGAGCATTATTCTTTTTTTCGTATTAGGCTATAGGAAAATTAACTTGTTTCGAAAGAATTTTTTCTTTTACAAATCGTACGTACTATCATGATTTCCACATGTCCGTCCCAATTTGCGTTTCCGTATTTTACTAATTTACTATATACCCTCGTTTATGCCAGCTAATCAAATCGCTAGATACACACTGTATGTACTGTATGCGAAAAAAATTTTGGGCATCATATAAATGACACATCACTAGGTTTATGATGTATGGTGGCGCAGATCGCCGAAGTACAAATAAATTTTTAGGGTCATATATAACGTAGAGACACTTCACTCACCATAAAACAATGCACTCAGTTCCTGGTATCAGCAAAAACATGACATAGCTCGCATTGTTATATTTTATCAATCCAATTTAAACACGTTATACGAAGTCAAATCCGGTAAGATAAGGAATAAAACAATTAGGAAACAATAAATAGTTGAAAAAATGGAAGAGTCGTTCTAAATATAATCATTGCATGATGCTCTTATGGAACCCCAAGTGCACATAAAACCTAAAGTTTAAATATGAGTTGCTTTACAGGTGCAGTAATAAAGCTGAAAACGTTAAGATAAATTTAAATTATATTCATTATACTCAAATTTTGTTCTCAATCAAGTTATCCGTCACTTGAAAGCTCATTCCAAACAGATACAAAATAGCTTTATTGGCTTAGCACTTTTATCTCTTTAAGAAATACTACGGCTGACATGACCACGCACATGACCAAAAGTACTCCAACCAGTAACTGTGCAATCAATATGCAAAAATTCCAACACAAAGATATTGCAGATCCATCTGTATAATTAGACGTTGTTTTGTTATAACAATAATGTATATTATTATAATGCTGAAATAAATATTAAATTAAAAGTGCTTAATGTTTTAAATATTTTTTAATTGGTATCATATAACATAGAGTGAGATCTTGTATAACGTATCAAATGACTGTCACTTTAAACATGACTTTCAAAACGAAATATAACATGTACATTGAATTAATAATTATGTACTGTATTAACAAATAAATTTATACCTTTAAAGCAATTAATCTATAATCTGAAACAAAGTGTGTAAAATTTTTTGATTACAAGTGCATTAAGTTTAATAATGATACTTACAAATAGTAATTTCAATAAAAACAATAGATTGACTTGGTAAAGCTGTTAATATAACATAATTAGTTTTAATCAAATAAGTAAATTAATGTAATATTACAAATAACCTTTAATTGCATTTTGTGTGTTAATGATTTTCTAGTGTACATAAAATCAGATATTTTTGTATGAAAATTGGTTATTTTATTTGCATAGAAGAATTGTTTTTTTTTAATTTCAATTGCATCATCTGAATCTGAATATTTCATTATTTTATACCATTCCTCAAATATGAGATAAACTTCTAAGCATCAAGCCGTTCTTCTGAAGCTACATCTTTGCATTTCTTAACCAATTTAATATAACAATCCGAATTCCAAGGGCAAATTCAGGCCAGGATCCATCGTGCATAATACTAATTGCGAGGCATTCATCAAATTGATTTCCATCAAAAGGTCTTTGTCCAGTTGACATCTCTGACATAATGATTCTGAATAAATAAATATCTGCTGTTCGCGTAAACGTTTGATCAGATAAAACGTCAGGTGCACATAAGGAATGACACCATAAATACTATTTCTGAATCATTTTTGTTACATTTTCTTGACATTTCTAGGTATGTGATGTAAGATCGCATATTTTCACTAATTCCTTTATGCTGCAAAATATTGCAACTATAAAAGTTAACGTGAATAAACCCCGCATCATGAAGTACCATCAAATATTCATTATTAGTAATATTTTGTTCTAATCCTTACACACAAAAAATATCTTTAGGGAAATTCTATTTTTCACCCGTAAGTTGTCGATAGATTTAAACTCAACATAGTTTTATAATACTTTATAATTTAACTGATTCGAAGGTTAATTAAAGAACCTGAAATAATGATTATATAATCTGAATAAGTAAACTTTAGAAATTAAAAGATTTTGGATAGATGAAATTTCAATATATTAATTGAGATTAATAACAAAAAATCCGACCGCCCGACTGAAATTTCGAATGCTATGTAATGTAAAATGACAAATCGACTCGGTGTAACCTTGTATGTAATGCGATCAGGAAATTTCTGAGATTTATTGTCACCATCGAATGGGAGAGCTTCCGACAACCATGCCGAGTTTAACTCCGATGGTTGACGTAAGAGAGATGCAGTGCATGATGACAAATTAATGAATTAGGATTTTACATGGTTAGTAGTCATTTATATATAAAAGAATGTAGATTTATGTATAGATAATTTCAGAGAGCATTCTTTCCTCTGAGATAAGGCAAGTGTAACCTTTAAATACATTCTTATTTCTTATGAGGTCTATGCTAAGAATATAACATCTATGTTATACTCTAAATCCCACATGCTTTCTCACGGGCAACTCATTCTATCATGTTTATTCGAGAGCGTATACGCGACTAGGGGAAATTCACATGGGTTAAGCCACTAAGAAGACATAAGAATGCCTAATATTATTAAGGTAAGATTAACATCGCTATGACGATACATTTATGGAAGGTATATGACAACTTAATGAATTAGACAAATATGGAAGTGAGAGACACAGGAAAATACATTCGCAAAAATTGTCTAATTTTCGAAAGTCTATATAAGAAACCACCTTTAGTGCTCTAACAACGATTTTTCCTTGAGCAATTTACTATATATTTCACGAATTCCTAATATTAATATAGACGCTAACCTTAACATAAACGAACTTTAAAGAGTTTCCTTCTGTGCCAAACCTGACAAACATTCATAATTGACTTCAAATTAATACTTGTTATTGTGAATCTAGTACTAATTCAGTAATTATTACATGCAATATTCGATCAAAAAAAGTTGATCATTTCATGTGATTGTACGTAATTAGTATTTACTCTTACTATCAATAAATCAACAAATGTAGAAATATGATTCAAATTGTAATAGGGTGTAGTACACAAGTATACACGAATTCTAACCTGGAATTTATTACCATTTAATGTTTGCACATCAGCTGTTTACGTATTATAACGTTTTCAAATAGGTGTGAACAGATGCAGATCACCATATTTTGAGAAATTCCCAGATTTCCAGAATTTTCAAAGCCAGTGCTAATCGGACATTCAATTTTTACTAATCATAATTTCCTGATTCTTTGATTTCCCATATAGGTATATGGGAATCTTTGTTTACATCTTTTTGTAAGGCAAATCTTTCAAATTGGGAAATTGAATGAAAATTGAAAATTTTTCCTTATGCAACTTAAAAAATATAACTTGTGCTTGGTTCTCATTTCCTGCTTGAGAATTAGGCAAAGTAATCATTAGACGCTAGGACGAAGCTTGAGTCAGTACTGGTAAAACCTGGAACATAAACCACGTTCACTTTTGATATTAAAATCATAGTTAAATGCGAATTTCACTCTTAATCAACATAGCATGTTTATAAAGTTTTAAGTACATACGTACATGCATTGTAATACGTAAACCAGTCTTCAATGATAATGACAATAAACACATTGTGTCCACTATTGGTGGCGCATAGTTTTTTTTTTGGCATGAGTTTAATTTTAAAATATACCTTGTTAAGGTAATGTTTCTGTCAAACCACCTAATAATAGGCTAGCTTTCACAGTTGTAGCCACAAATAAATAACATAACGTCAAAATTTGTGTCAATTGGCCCGAGATTGCCACTTCGGGGAATCAATACCAGAGTTTCTGTTTTTGTATCTTTAAGTGCGATAAAATTATATAAATGCAATCTTCCTCGCAATTTTCGTTTCAGCACTAAACATTTCAAACATTTAGCAAAAGCAAATTGATAATTATAATCTTTCAATCAAATTAAACTTTTTAGCAATTATTTCCAATTCAACTTATACGTATCAGCAAAATGTCTAGTCTAATTTTGCCTCAATTGTTCGTTTATCCTCTCGCCACTTCACAAGTTGTCTCGATGAAAAAAAATATATCAGTACCTTATATTCCTCCAGAAATTATTCGCATTATTTTGGATTTATTGAGGGACGATAAAAAAACTCTCGCTGCTTGTGCTTTGGTTAATAATACTTTTAACCTTTATGCTACTCCGATCTTATATCATACTGTTGCATTTACTTTTCCTCATACGTTTACACTTTTCGTTAATGCCACGAATGACATTAAAAAGCGTTGTTCTCAAATGGTTCGACACTTAGATCTCTCTAGTTTCTCTACCTGTGGTTTACAAAAAAGTTCTTTCGAAACCCAAAATATCGTCACTCCGGAACTTTTAATTCATATTCTGAGATCTTTTCCTGAATTGAAAGCTTTTTCTGTATCAGAATCTTTGGAATCTGTAATTACCCTTGATGTTTTAAAGGTTCTATTTTTAGAGTGTAAAAGCATAAAAACTATTGATTTCTGTGGATGCGCTAGCAAACAATTTAGTAATGCTTTAGGTGAATTCTCTAACCTAATTGGTCGCGTTAAAATCGAATCAAATTGCAATGATAATGAAGAAGCAATAATTTCTTTTCGCATGACATCAAAACCTTTATTATCTCATTTACAAAGACTTTCATTTCATGAATGTCCAGTAATTTCTGAATTTTCAACTATCATACCTCTTCTTGCTCATGCTCCAAATCTTACTCATCTTGATTTGGGTGGTTGTTCTATCAGCGATTTAACATTAAACTTCCTAACTGGATCAAATATTCCAACAAAATTATCACATTTATCATTAGCTAAATGCAAAAATATTTCTTCTGAAGCTATTTCATCTTTAGTTTCAAATTGTTCTCAATTAGAAACTCTCAATTTCTACGGTGACAGAGATATCACTACAGCTATTAAAGAATATGAGTTAATTACCATACTTCGTTCACCAAACGCAAAAAATTTCCGATCATTAGATATCGGATCTTCGCAAATAACTCCATT